GAGTGAGTGAAATTCTCATTCGGAGAGTGCCGGTCTGGTCAGCCATCCTCGAAACAGTTCGCTTGCTTCTGCTTATATATGTGTTACGGGCAACGTCCGGGTCTCGGGCAAAGTCAGCCTTTGCCCGGGCATTGACGAAGATGCCCAAGTGGCGTGGGCACCGTCGCCATTGACCGGGCATTGACGACGGTGCCCGCGCGATTTGGGCATCGTCTTCCACAATGTAAATGAGGCACTAATGCCCGGGCATTGACCGTCCTTGGCGGGCAGCGCCAACGATGCCCGCGCACCATTGGGCAACGTTGCCGCGGGCAACGGGCCACGGTAGGTGATCGAACTTGTCATTGATTGAGGAGACCGACTCGTGAGTCGTGGTTACCGATTATCTTATCGAAACTAACAAGTAACATCGGGTCGAAACAGAGGAGGATCTGGAGCGTTGCTTGATGCTGAACCAGCTTCTGAAGCAGCATCTTCTGAAGCAACTTCTACTTCTGAAACAGCTCTTACTTCTGAAACAGCTCCTCCTTCTGATACAGCTCCTACTTCTGAAACAGCTCCTACCTCTGAAACAGCTCCTACTTCTGAACCATACATCAACAACATACTTAGAAAAATGCGTGTTGCTCTACAAAACCTTGAGGTTCAGGCCAATATAATGAAGAAGCAATCTGATGCCAAATTCAGTCCCGTTGCCGTAGGGAAAACAGTCCTTGTGCCCATACCCGCTGTAGATCGTTCCCGCACCGACTCCCGAAATGTTACGGCAGTGGTATTGGAGGAAAAGGAAGGATTTTATATGTTAGGAACAACGGAAGGCGTCATCCGCTGTTTGTACATTAGGTCCCAGTTCACGCCGTGCTCATCTGACCTCGTATCATTTGACTCTGTTCCTGGCACAGAGAAAAGTTTGCGTCAAATCGAATCTTCTGAATCCGTATCCGGCGGGCAAGGGATGCAGAAATGTGACTGCCGCCAAAAATGCACAACAAAACGGTGTTCCTGTCGAGCGCGAAATGTGCTGTGCAATTCACGCTGCCACAACTCCCAATCCTGCACTAACAAATAGGTGATCATTATTTTCATCTCACTTATTTTTCATTTTGACGGTGCCCGATAACACTTGGGCATCGTTGTCAGTGCCCGGGCATGGTTTCCTTACTCTCTCGATCCCAATCTTTGCCCGACCGTTCAAAGCACTTCTCGGGCACCGTCGTCAATGTCCGGGCATTGACGACAATGCCCAGGCGAGTTGGGCACCGTCGTCAGTGACCGGGCATTGACGACGGTGCCCGAGACTCGGACGTTGCCCGTAACATATGCATATTTTAAATCAGCGCTGCGCATTCTAAGGCTTTTTTTTAAAAAAAACCAGGTAACGTAGACTCTTGGTATTCACTGCACATAAACTAGAAAGCCCCGGAGTAAGAAACAACTTTAAATCATAATTATTGGCGGATAAATAAACTTCTTACACGCTTTGGAAAATCTCAGAAGTTCGCGGTAGTCACTTTTCGGTAAGGCACTAAGGGACTCGGTTATTGTATCGAGCAGGGTTCGAAACGATCGCAAAGGCGGTATACTACGTATACGCGCCAATAATGAATTCGTATCTTGTACTTAGTGACATAAATGGATCTCGTTAAGCAGAAAGGAACCAAGGCACATCAGCTATTACCAAATTTTATTGGGAAATTTAATTTTTTACATGAAAACGCTTGTGCGGATTTTCGTGCAAAGTTTAGTGACTTTTCTCCATAGTACGACGCAAATGCCTTACAATTTTTACAGGAATACGTGCAAGCGCTCTCTCGTAAAAAGTTAAGTTGCCCAGTTTTGGCAATAGCTGATGTGACTTGGTTCCTCTCTGCTTAACTCGGTCCAAATATATCTCGATCAAGCGTAAATAGTTACTTGTTGCTATACAGTTCGAATGTTGATATCGGACTTGGTGATATTTCCTCCCATAAATCTATTTTCCAAAAACTATCTCTTTGGATGAGCTTTGCCGACGGTTGCCCCTTTTTCTCCTGGAGAAGTCATGTCAAAGTTTGCGTGATTATCTTACTAGGTTCTCCTGCAAAATGAATAAAAGATCACTAAAAATTGATGCAAGTGAGTTTTCAAAGCCAATAGTGATGACAAATTCTGTTTTTCAATATGTACCTCATTCCAATTTCAACTGTTACAATAATCACGGTCATCAAGTATTTTTGTCAAAGACAGAACTTCATTGCTACATCGACACAAATATCTCACGTGGGAATCCGTGCGCGGTGTTGGGCTTCGCATTGTGAAGGAGGGAGTTTTAAGAAATAGAGCTCAATGCTGAACACTCGAACACTCGAGAGTTGCCAAATTTTCCTTAATAAAACGTGTATTTTTGACAACACTCGTGCATTTTTTTCCTTGAAATTGTCAGATATTTTAGATATAATTGCGTACAAAAGTGTCTGAAAATTTTGGAAAGAAATATTCACGATTTTCCCAGAAAATTCGGTTTCTATCGGGGGAAACTTGGCAACGTCTGAAGGCTCATACGGCGTTGTTACTTAGCACGGTAGTGCAGGACTCAACGCGGATGTAATCGTTAGTAATGACGCATATGTTTAAGCGCCTTCATTTTTATCTGATACTGTGCAATACCTCCGTGCCGAAATAGTTGCTTGGCGCGCCTACCACAGTGTCGTTTGGACTTGATGGCAGAGAATCTCCCGTACCGCTGAAATTACACTCTAGCGTGTGTGCAATTAAACATGTTCTCATCCCTATCGGTTAGGTAAAATACATTCATATCTCAATTTTCGACGTTGCAAGTTTTTTAAAAACTTACTTGTATGTGTGTATGAGTCGCCATTACGACGCGCTAGGGCGCTCTGCAACGCCTGCCTACCACAGGAGTCTGTCATGGTAGAGATCCATCTCTCCATCTCTTAATAGATGCCCTCTACCCACCGTTTGTCTGGACGCCCTCTCCGTTAGCCTACCATGGAGGGACTCACTCCAACACCCTCTTCGGCAACTTGGTATCAGTCAATACGAAACCCATTGGACCAATATCCAATGGGTAAACCAATACGAAAATTTTAAAATCTGTCGTGAATTTCTCGATAAAAAAGACGTAAAAAAAGCTAGTGACCGTAGCTTCCTTGGACCTTCTCAGCTTTGGCCACCTTTCATCATTCTACTTATTTATGCCCTCTCCGCAAAGTTCACCGTACGTGTAATGACCGGAACCCTCTTGGCCTGTTGGACCTTTAGGATTGGTTTTCCTCTCTCCGGGCCGGGTCCCTCAATTCTAGTTCTAACCTTCAGACTTAGTTTATAAGTTTATACTTTAGTTATTTGGTCCGGTTGCCCTCCCTTGTGTCGTTGCCAGATCTCCCCTGCCCTTAATTTCTTGTGCCCATATTTTATTTCGGGAAGGTGAATCTTTAAACCCTTTTTCTTATCATCCCTTCATCATAGCATCAGTATCAACTTTTATTTCCTTTCTTATTAAATATCCGCCCTTATTCGATCATTTCTCTAGTTACAGTGATTTGAAGCCCCTTATTATTCTTTCTAACCTTAAATTATCTCATTTCCCCTTAAAGCAGCCGTGGCTATGTCAGAGGACTATTTACGGCACCCTTCTCCTAACTGATCTTTATTATTGTATTAGGTGACCTTCTATGTGTGCTTAATGTAGTACTTAATGGAGATGTTGCATGTGTGAGGAATTTCCGATTTGACTGTTGATTCTAATGTAAAAGTTCGCGAAAAATACGATGGTGCTACTGGTTTTTTTCTGAAATCATCTCCCAAGCTCAAAAAAAGCTCTCAAAGTGAGGCCAAAATGGAGGGGATATTCCACGCTATCCTGAGAGTCCACCTCTACATCAAAGCAAACTCTCTGTGCAAAGATAAGGAGCGAATACATTAGCAGGGTTGCCGTGTTTTCAGTTTTGGAGTCCCCAAATAAAGTGGCAGCCCTGTCAATGTATTTGCTCCCTATCTTTGCATGGAGAGTTTGTCTTGATGTAGAGGTGGACTCTCAGGATAGCGTGGGATATCCCCTCCATTTTGGCCTCGACTTGAGAGCTTTTTTGAGCTTGGGAGTTGATTTTAGAGAAAACCGGAGGCACCATCGTGTTTCTTGCGAACTTTTGCATGAGAATCAACAGACAAATCGCAAATCCCTCACACATGCAACATCTCCATTGGCACCTTCTGATCTCCTCCACCCCTTGTCACCAACCTTTCACAGGACGTCCACGCCCTCGCCTTCCGGGAGGAACCCAATCGAAAACCTGCGTAGGCAACCGATCGTCTGATTTTTCAGATAATTTTTTTCACAATTCACCTGAAGTTCCTAAAATTTTCAGGGAAAAATATTCATAACTTTCTTCTAAATAACTATTTCCCGAGAGGATATCTGGCAACTCTCGAATGTTCATACGGCGTTCTTATCCTTAGCCTGGCAGCATACCGCCCACGCTATCATCGCCCGTCATCTTCCAAATTTCCAGATTCCTCAAATTAATTCACAAATATATAGCAATTCCAATTCCTTTGTATTCCTTTGTAATTCCAATTATATTTGTAACTCTTTGTAATTTGTTGAATTTCCTCCAATTTTCCAGGTAACATTGTTCGCAATTTCATCGAAAACCTGCGTAGGTAACCGATCGTCTGATTTTTCAGATAATTTTTTTCACAATTTCACCTAAAGTTCCTAAATTTTTCAGGGAAAAACATTCATAACTTTCTTCTAAATAACCATTTCCCGAGAGGAAATCCAGCAACTCTCGAATGTTCATACGGCGTTCTTCCCCAGCACGGCAGCATACCGCCTACGCTATCATCCCCGTCATCTTCCGGCGCCGATTAGCGGCGACACCCCCCGATCCAGCAACAGGTCCCTTCCCCTCCCCTTCCCGCTCTGTTTTTTTTTTCGCGCGCAAACTCGCGGGCCGCGGCGCGTCGCCCGACGGCTGCAGCTCGTTATAAGGGATTATTGCACGCACGGCCCTTCATTTCCGATGAGTCACTGACGATCCGCCCTGCCCCGTCCGAACTCCCGAGTCCACGTCGAGTATCCGTGTCCGCGTTTTTCGGCTCTCGCTGCTCGCACGCCACACCGCATCGAACCGCACCGCACGCTCGGCGCATCTCTCTGGACCCCTCTGAACCCGTGCGCGACCCTTGCTCGTTGCTGCTCGACGCCGGGGCTCTTATCCTCTCTCTTCGGCTCTGATCAAGGTGAGTGACGAGTGATTCACGTTGGTTTTACCACACTGGAAAAAAAAACACATTGAATCTGGAGATCTAGAAAAGAGTCTCGCAGACTCTTGAAAATATTGACAAGAAAAAGGACTCTTGATTCAATCAGATTTCAGCTGAAATCAAGAACCAAGCCTCTTAATTTGAGCGGATTTCCTTTTGATTTAAGCTTAAATCTGATTGGATCAAGAGTCCTTTTTCTTGTCAATGTTTTCAAGAGTCTGCGAGACTCTTCTCTAGATCTCTAGATCCAATGTGTTTTTTTTTTTTTTTCCAAAGCACCGACTCACAGTGGATTGAGTCAACGGAGAGGTCGAACTTGATTTAAGAGCTTGAAAGTGTAAATTTTCATTAATAAGGAATTTTGATGTTTTGAAAAGTTACATTAGTTTTCTCGTAAAATTTTCTGTGAAAAACACCTCTTAGAATTGAAACTGTAACGAGATAAACATAAAATTGTACAATATTTGACAATGTCATGTCCGACCTCTTCCACAGACTCGTTCTACTGTGCGACTACCGGACTAAGGAAGAACGTTAAATGAACATTTGAGAGTTGCTGGTTTATACCAGATAAAGCAAGCACACTGGAAGAGCGCCGTATGAGCCATTATTCCATACCTCCAACAGTACGAGAGAAATTCTCTGAAAATAATACTCGTGGTATTTTTTCTTTAAATTTTTCAGACGATTTCGTTCGCAGTTTAATCTAATGTATTTGAAAGTTTCAACGAAAAATATGCATGAATTTCCTCAAAAATACACTGAAAAAGTAGTCTCTTGAATCCAGAGTCCAGACTCTTTAAAGTTTGACATGAAAAATTACTCCTGATGCAATCGGATTTTCGCTTAAATCGAGAGCAAAGCCTCTTGATTTGAGCGGCTTTCCTTTTAATTCAAGCAAAAATCCGATAGAATCAAGGGTATTTTATCTCGTCAAATTTTTCAAAAGCCTGGGCTCTGGATGCAAGATATTTTTTTCCAGCGAATTTTAGGGGAATTTATGCATATTTCAATCGGAATTTTCAAAGGTATTAGATTAAATTGCGAAAAAAGTCGTTTGAAAATTTTGAAGAAAAAATATTGACAGTGTTTACAGAGAGCTCCTTTCTTGGTATAGGAAATATGGAATTGTCTGAAAACTCATACTGCGTTCTCACTCAGCACGGTGGAGTATAGGGAACCAGTTTTCAAGGAAATTAATATGTGGATACAGAACATTAAGGATATACGCAAGCGTATCCCATCTCTGATTTTGCATTAAGGTGACCAGATGAGGTCTGCTTATCCAGCACGATCTGAGACAGATTTTTCGTCAGTTGTGAGTATACTCAAGAATTGTAAATAATATTTTAAGCTGAATGGTTTTTATATAATTTTTAAAATTTAACTGAATTTTAAGAATTCGAATTTTTCATTTTTTAAACTTGCGTGAAATTTAGATGTACTTCACAGGCGATGATTGGTAAAACTTCTGAAGTTTCGATGAACCTGATTTAGTTACCTCCACGATTCAATTCTTACGCGTTTCATCCTGACCAGAGGGAGTGAATAAGTGATGTAGATTGATCTCAATACAGCAAAAATCCGATTTTTGGGGGGAATTTTATTCGTTGGGGAGGAATGTAGGGGTGGTTTTGTATGTGTCGGTTTTACCTCCGGATTTTCAACGGCTACCGCTGGTTCCAATCGAAGTGAGCCAGGATTCGCGCTCTAATTGATATGAGAGAATGGCCTCTCTTGCCACGTTAACAAGTATCAGTTGCATTGTCTTTAATTGCATTAATTAATACTTTTATCGGAACAGCGGCACACTGATCTCTTATAAAAAAGGTTGGCCTTACTATGTGCATTATGAAAGGGGAAAAAAACAAAAGGAAGCCCACCAGCAATCGATAAAGCATCGTTGAAAGAAAGACTGTGATCGGTACATTAAGAACGGTGAAAGGCAAATAACAACTTAAATAACATTGAGGTATTTTAAATGATTCGTAGTACCTCCAGTTCGCAATTTCACTCTAAGTTAAGATGGCTATTGATACCCCTCAAATTGTTCAAAATGAATCTTAATATTCCATTCAAAAATTAAGTTTGTAGGTTACTATGACTGATGGGGATGGGAAAATACTTTTAAAACTTCCTTCGTTTTCGTTACTTTCTTTGAAGCGACAGCTTTACAGATTCCGTCTGCGCAAAATGCGTGAATATTTTGGAATTGTATTTATATAATGCCTAAGAAATTTTATGCGGGTTTTCAATTCAATGTGCCTCAAAGAATTTTCAATATCTTTAAGAATTAGGTTATTTATGTGGGCGTTTCTTATTTTGTCTTCCAAAAATATTCCCTTCTTAATAATCAAAATGAAAAGTACTCAGTTGAATGTTCAATTTTATTGCTTTCCTTGATAAAGAAAAACTCACACAAATTTTGAAATTCACGTTTTGACGCCCTCACTTTCTCGTGCAATTTAAGCCTAAAGCAGTAATCTCGACGAAGGCCACATTTCTGGCGTACCTTCGCAATAGGTATGTAACACATTCAAATTTTCCCCTCGTGGAAAGACTTTTTGATTGTTTTTCAATCCTGCTTGTGCAGCCAGCCCTGTAATATGCATTCTCATTATGAATCTAAAATTATCTTCATTTAAAAATCCAAATCTCATCGTTGTCCTTCTTACTGTAATCAATATGCATTTCTTTAACTACAACCAACTCATAAATTTGGATTTTCTTTCACGCAAAGTAATCATTCGCACATTCCCATATTTCGCAACGCTGAATCTTCACAGGCAAACCATCGCAACAACTCCACGTTGCACTTTACCAAATACTTCGGTTTTTAAAATGACTCATTATTATGTTCCGTGAAATTTTCAATGGAATAACAAAATGAAGCTTATACACGAATCGACTCAATAGGTGATCAGAGAACCTAATATAAATTTCACAAAAACGGAGATACTGCAAGAAAGGCTCATGGAATACGCAGTTCTTTAGGACGAAACTTACTCAGCCTTCTCGTTAATTTTTTTTTGAGGGCGAATTCTTTGTACGATTCTCAGAATTGTTTTGTATTTTTCTAAGATTACTCGACAAAACGTTATTTGTACTTATTATTAACTGTTGGATTAGGGTAATATTTCACCAACGAACGCTACCTAAACTTGAAACACTGCATTTTTCTGAGCTTATTTACATTCAGAAAACAATTACATTATTCTTACTAATTTCTTGAGGCATATCAATGAAAATAATTTCTTGGGATATTTTAATTATTCTTATGTGCTATAAAAAGTGTTCTGAGATAAATTCAAAGCAAATCATCTATTAAAGTTGGACCGAGTTCAACAAAAACGCTCCACATAGCATAAATTAATATGAGCCACGAGTATTTTTTTTTTCATTTATCTCGTCATGCGTTCATGCGTTGTACAATCTTCATTCATCATTTTTGCACACAGGTCATAGATAGAGATGAAAGTGTTTCTAAGATTTTAACGTTTCTTCCGAAATTCTCGACGGATGATATCAAAACGAGGCGGTTTCGCATTCGCGGTATCATGAGTGAGGAATTTCTGTGCGCGTCTGATATAGCTCGTTAAATTGAGTTTTCCTGCGGGGCAGCAGAAAGTTGAAATGGAAATGATGATGGATTGCAGCGAGCTTTTGGGAAAGTGATCGTTAAATTTAAGGTGCTCGGATCGGAAGAAACGAACGCTTCCGCGTGGCATAAATGCCCTTCCTTTTCATTTTCGACTTTTGACACTGTAATTGATGAAATGAAACCGTGCTTCTGCGAAGACGGGTCCGCACAATCTTACTTGCAACTTTATGACTTCGAACTGTTTTTCGAACAAAAAAGTGGGGGCACAGAAAGACGAGAGGGTCAATTTAGTATTTATTTATCATGACAAATAGAGGCGCAAACTCACTGAAGAGCTGTTTGACACAAGTGAACTTTAGAGCGGACCATTAAAAATGGACCTGATGTATCTATGGCGAAGGTTGCAATTTTTTATGAAAAATAAAATCTTGAAATTTCAGAAGAATATGATGAATAATGAAAAATATTTTTCGAAATTAAATGTGAAATTAAATGAAAGGCGACTGGTTTTTGCTTTTTAGGGGTTTAGTGCGTGTTGCATACTCAGCTCCTGATAATATGTTTCATATTTTTCGTATTTTTCACAACTTTGTGAAAAATCATGGAATATTTCACGGACAATTTCAATATTTCATATTTTTCGTTTTATCCGTGCAACCCCGTCTATGACTGTTTGAATCCAGACATGCCTTCAATTCTTGATGAAGGTAAAAAGTGACTGTGCAGTAGCCGCAATCTTGTAAAAGAAGCGTATTGCTTCTTGAAGATCAATGTGTGAGGATTTCTGGGATTATAACATTGATCTCGATTCTCCTCACCAAAAAAGCAAACAAAGAAAATATTTACTGGACACTGGACACTTAAGAACGTCGCATTGTCGAATTTTTACAAGTTCAACAAAGTTTAAAATTCTTGGGAAAATTTCCCTCTCATAAAACTGGATTTCTTTAATCACGCAAAATACCATTAAAAATAGTAGCAACGAAGCCTTTTGTGCTCGGGTCAAACCTGTTAAAATAACAAGTTTAGCTATGTACGCTTTTTAATTTCCGTCACTGACTCAATGCAATTATTTCTCACCCTTTTAATGCAAGGAAAAGCACCTGTGTGTAAAAATTACTTGGTGTACCTTTATACTAAAGTGCCAAGGAAGAGGGCCGTATGAGTCTTCAGGCGTTGCAAAATTTCACCTGATAAAATATGGATTTGAACTTGTGAATATTTTTCTTCCAATTTTTTATCGCGATTAAATCTAGAATATTTGAGAATTACAAGGGAAGCTACTGATAAATTTCCTCAAAATAAACATTTTATCTCAAGAAATCTGGTCATTTTTGGATGTGCATACGGTATTTTTCCTTGGCACGGCGGTGTA